GTTAGAAAAAGGCGCATTTTCTGAGCTGGGTCGGCTGATATTTTCCAGGTTAGAATTGGGGGGGGGTCACACCCTGTTCACACCCCGGTCCTGCCAAAACGAGGAACTACACCGTTTGCTGGCAAACAGAGGCCAGTATCATGAGGTCATGCACAAACCCGCTGCAGGTATCCAAAATTCAGGGCGTTCTGCGTCGTGCTGGCCGCACACGAGCCGACAACGTCAACACGCTGCCACATTGCTCTTTTGATGTTCTTGCCTTGGGCAGAAAATATCTGTTTTGGTTCCTGCTGCATGTGTGATAATTCAAAACGCATGCCAGAGAGAGGCTTTACGCCGTCGACACCCACAAACTGCAGCCAATCGCGTGTAGGCATACACATACCCTCTGCTCGCGTCCCGGAAACAGAGCGTATTGTCCAGTTTTGATTGCACACGGCCTGTAAACGTGAAACGAAGTTTTTACTGTTTTTGGACGTTGCCCTTATTTTTCATGGTAGCCGAGTGTGATCAGTCCACAATGCGTGCCAGAGAGAGTTCTTTGGCCGACGACATCCACAAACTGCAGCCACGGGCGTGCGATCATACACATGCCCTCTGCAGGCGACCCAAAAACAGGGCGCTCGGTGTCTTGTTGGTCGCGCACGGGCCAAAACCGTGAACTGAAGCATGTTGTGACCCACGAAAGACTTGAATCGGCCCTTTTTTTCCCCTGAGAAAAAGGTGTCTCGAGGAACCGTAAGGTCTCTTGGATCTGTGGATATTTTTTTCTGTGCAGACCAGCCCCCTCGACCGAGAGCAAAAACAGATGTCCGAAATAATCAGACCTTCAGACTCGGTCCAAGCATGAATAACAAACCATGGCAATTAGTTCCTGTGTGACCTTCCCCTTCTCTGATTGACCCCGGCTAGTGCGTGCAAAAACAACATCCCAAAGTCAAAGGTGTAATGAGTGGCGTCCAGAAGAAATTGGATGATGCGCACAAGCTCGCTCACCGCCCATTACTAATGTAAAGTCACGAGCCACAACGCGATTAACGCCACGGAAGCCCGAACAAATTTATGTCTGTCTCGGGTATGTGTGTGTGGTTTTCTTATTAGCATGGACCGCGCCAACCGGCTGACCAATGAAAATACGTCAGTCAGTCAGTGAGGTTGATAACATGAATGCTTTAGGTGGACAACATAAATGCTTTCAAGGCCTTATTTGAGACCCCGTGAGGGAGGGGGCGTCATGGGGGAGGCTACGTCACTCTTCGAATTTAAGACAGAAGATGTTTTGTGCTTACTATTGTTAGGATTGGCCGCACGTAGCGGCTGACCAATGACAAATTCGTCAGTGCCAGCGGGAAAATCAGGGTCGCTGCATGAGGCTGAAGTTGGAACAACGTGTGTTCTGTGTGTACGGACGCCTGTGTGGGTGCGTGGTTTGTAGTTGTGGTTCCTCCATGGACCATGCTAGCCAGCTGCGTGAGGTGGTGTTACTGTACAGTATGTGCACTGGAGATGCGAGATGCGAAACATACCGTCTGTCCGTTTTAACGCGAGTGACTCGGTTCTGGAACCTGGTGGTGGTGTTGCTAGTACACAATGTCTTCGACAACACCGCTCTCCTTGTATCGGAAACAGAGGTAGGTGCGTTTCTAGCATACGCGAAACGCCAGCACACGGAAGGGGTAGTCTACCACGCTGCCACATTCGAATTCTCTGTCATGGAAATGATGTGCTAACGTACTTTAATGCTTTTCCTCCCACTGTTAAGTTCACAGCGACATTCCTTTACCTGAACGGGGACTCACGATGCAGTCAAGTTCTGTGCATGTACCATGTAGAGCCAACCGTAAATATCGTGGACGTGTAGCGTGTGACGCAGCATCGCAGCTTCTCAGGAATTGATCGACGGGAATCGATAGGATAAAATGAAACCAAACATTATGCCGAGAACTCTTCACACGATATGTGCAGTACATGGTGTTTTCGACCCCCCCCCTCACTTTCGCGGCACCTCATACATCCACGCTCCCCGGAAACACCGACTCTAGGACCTACTTCCACGCGGTACTTTGTCCGCAGCACTTAGCCCGTGTTTGTTAAAACCCTAAAAAACAAGAGAAACATACAGTACAACCGTTCAGAGGGTGTGTGTGTGTACTGCCGGTAACAACACCGCTGGTTTAGTATATCCCCTACCGAGCGTCTCGAGGGTGTGTGTGTGTACTGCCGGTAACAACACCGCTGGTTTAGTATATCCCCTACCGAGCGTCTCGGTATGTGCTCAATATAGGCCTCGCTACCCTACCGCAAACCCACGGTACGCGCGGTATGGAAAGAGACTATCCCATACAAAAAAATAACAGTACCGCCACACCACACATGTTGATCTGTTGCCTACGGAAATGGGTCACCTCCCGTACACAAGAGATGATTACTACAGACATTACTTATTTCGGGCGCAGCGCGAAAATAAATTTGGAATCATTTTTAGAAGAGCGAGCACGTGATTGGTTGTTACTTAGAGTACGTTTTCCTGCCTTGCTCTTCGAGATTCTGCATGGGTGTGGAACAGTATGTCGTCAGCAGCAGCAGCAGCAGCAAACCCTTTACAACAAATTTAAGTCCCAAAGCTTCGCTGATGGCAAGACAAAGGAGGTGGAACAGTATGTATGTCGTCAGCAGCAGTAGCAGCAGCAGCAGCAACAGCAAGTAGTGAGGGAGGTTCTTGGTAAAATGTGCAATCAAGCACGTGTGCACACCATTCTTGCTGTTTACACACAGCAAGATCTCTACCCTACTCGCCCTTCAAAGGAAGTAGCGAACTACACCGACAAACGGATTTACACACATGACTTGACTTGCCCCCAACTGAATGCGAGATGAACGAGATGAAGGGTCATGTGGTGGTGCGCGCTTGTCACACGATCACACCAGACACCAGACTGCGCACGCCCCCCTCTTGTTATCCTACATGCGTCAGGCCGGTACTCTGCAACCGATGAGTGTCAGAGGCAGCAGCATGCACCCCACTACAATCCGATCTGATTGATAGCATATCGATATCCAACCTATTATCCAGGGTGTGGTACAGTGCAGGGGAGGAGCTGCCTCTTCTTCCCTCGCAGGGGAGAGTGCGCTCATCCTTGCTGTCTGCGGTGGCCGCACGTATGATCCAATCGCACTGCTGCGGGGCTCGGGGTGCGGCCTTGTGCTCTTTCGCCTTGCTTCGGGGCTAACCCTCTGCATCCCCGCCACCACAACATCTTGCCATCACTATGTAGATATGCATGCTACTGTGGATACTACTGTACAGTAGATACCGATATAGTCACCTTAGGACCAAGCGCCACCCCCTCCTTGCACCAGGACGACTCGACTCGACTCGACTCCCTAGAACAGCCGCTACGGACCATTGTACGCATACCAGAACCCGACGTTCCCTCCAGGCTCCTGCAGAGCACTTTGCACCTTGAAATGCCTTCGACAAATAGGACACACGTCGTGCTATACAGCAGCAGCTTTGGGCGCGTTTGTGTATGTACGTGTACAGCTGCAGATGTTGAAGACAACATTTCCGAGAAACGGCTTCTTCCCACTCTGCCCAAGCGGACTCGATCAACCGAAGGAATCGAATGAATCGAATGAATCGAAAGCTACTCGATCCACTTCTTCATTGCCCGCTTGCCGACGTTGATTTGCTGGTGCTGCTGGAACCTCCCCATCGGATCGCCCAGCATACACAGATTCTCTCTATGTGTGTCTCTCTCTGGTGCGGTCGGTGCGGTGTTTGTCCCCACCCTCTCCACGGGCCCCGTCTCTCGCCAGCTCGCCAGCTGTCGCTGGCGTGGTGTGTGTACTATTTACGGCTGCTGCTGTGTTTTGTAGCAGTCCCCTCTCGCCCTCTGGCGCGGTTGTAGTGTGTCTCCTGTGTGCTGCCTTGCAGCGGCGATGGAGAGTGCTGCCTTTTGTCCTCTCTCTGTCTGGTGTGTGGTGCGTTGTGTCTATGGTATATGCTGCGGTGCAGTGCGTTGTGTCGGTTGTGCGCAGTGCGTTGTGTCGGTTGTGCGTGCTGTCTGCTGTCTGCTGTGCGCAGCGACGATGCCACTGGCTTGTGCTGTTGTCCGCCTTTCGGGGGAGATTCGAACCAGCGGCGTGACCGTGAAAAATGCCCAATCAGCGGTCTCCGTCATACAACGTCGTTCAAAATCCATGTGCGATGAACGGGTACATCTACCGGGTATCCACCCCAACAAAACATACTGGTTCCGGTCCCGTACAGCGTATGTACAGCAGTATGCACAAGATACGTATGCATCAATGTCATATCCATACCTGCTCCACTACTGTACGAACATTCAAAAATGAATGCGCACCAAAACCCAACTCCAACAAGCTGAGCTTTCGGCGAAGGAAAGGGGGGCTTTGTGCAGCAAATTGAACCCTATATTCCCTAGATGTCAGGATGTATGCATATGGAGATTCAGGAAGCACAGACACACGTAAATATAGAGTAGGATCTTAGGGATCGGTGATAACAGATCATGGTTCTTCCGGGTTCGTCACTCTTCTGATGCCCAACAGCTGCGAACGGTTGATGGATCTTTCAATGGCAGGCTGGGAAGATGAATCTACGAAGGCCCGCCCACTCTCCGCACCACCCCACGTAGCTTGACTGAGTTCGCTCGATCACGCTTGGCATTCCTCGCCACATCGCACCAAAGGAAACAGCCAGCCTCCGGTGGCAAATCATAGCCGCCACACTCCGGACTCTCCGCTCACCCAGAGTTGAGGGCTTCAGATTGTATGGTGTTGGCATAGTCTACTAACTATGTTGTCATCAGGAATAGACTACAGAGTTGTGATGTGTATTTTCGTGTGGTTGGGGGGCAACACGAGTGGCACCACACAAACTGCTGTACCCCTACCGAACACCAAACACACAACTGCTGTTACCCTTCCGAACATCCATTCACCTGATGGATACACCGTTGTTGTACCGAGCACTCATGAACAGCAGCGAGGCAATCTTTCAGCATGAGGTGGGTGCCAGCGGTGTGCCGACCCCCGGCCCGCGTCTGGCGGCAGTTTCTCTTCGCAAGCCCCGACGGCAGAGGGAAAAAGCGTGTAATCCATACGCATACTATTTGATTGCACCACCAGCGAGACCCTCTCCACTCCTCATCATTATCGGGCGGGTGCAAGTACCAGGACCCACCAACCCCGTCGACTACTGGCCGGTTGTCGCAGAGTAGGAACACACACGTATCACGTGAAGCGTCTGTCCAAGGGTGTGTTCCGTAGTGTAAGGTGCTGCTGTAGGACTAGTCTACTGTAGGATAGGCCGAGGCACGGCATGCCGCCGTCTGTAAAACTGGGATGTTTCTTCCCATCCCTTTCCTTCTTCGTGAAAACCTTCCGGTACACAAGGACACAAACGACACTTGAAGTAACAATTAATAGGGGAAGCAGCCGTGGGCACACGGCAATGTATGTATGCTAGGCTGCTGTAACTGCTGTAGTCGATGTAATGGAAAATAATTCATGTTGACAAAATCAAAAATCAATAACAAATGCACATGTTTTTGTTCATGTTCACAGGTTTGGGGCGGGGAGCACATCCACATCGGCCTGCACTCCAAGCTCGAGGGGGAACACGTCAAGCTGGAGGGGGTGGAGCGCATCAAGAAGGCCAGCTCCCTGAGCACCGAAGAGATACTCTCCCGGTGCTTCCCCTCCGGCACGAATGGCAACGGCGCTCCACCCTCGGCGGAGTGTACCATGGTGGACCTGGGGTGCGGCTACGGGGGCACTGCCAGGGTGGCTGCCAAGAAGCTTGGCTGCAAGGTGGGTCGCTACAATGCTGCTTGCTGTGATGTTTACATAATGCCCAGGGTAGAAGATCAAAGGAGGGGGCGCGGAGGGGAGGGGATGTCGTCCCACTAGTCTGTGTAGCGGAGAAAGTCTTGGGAGCATATTGATGTCTGATGTCGCTCCCTCCCCTCGCATGGCGGTTTCGTTCTTCCTGTCTCGTTTTTTCTTTTCAGCAGGTGGTGTGCATCAACGTTTCGAAGCGTGAGAACGAGACGAACGTCGCTATGACCAAAGAGGCCGGCCTCCAAGACAAGGTGAGGTGATGGTTCTTGGTGTGTTCTTGGTCTGGGCGGTTTCGGGTAGGTTTCATGATGACGACTTGTCCTGCCAAAGAAAAACACAAACAGACACCGCTTTGCACATTGATTGCCTCCCGGTTGCTGTTTTTTTTTTTAACAGCTGTCACGGGAAGTTCCTCTCGATCACAGACAAGGTCCCGGACGGGTAGATGTGCTATGGTTGCCATGTTGTGTATCTGACTCTGACGACGTGTTCTATGCTGGGAAGGTATAGAGAAAGACTGGGCGATCTGATTCCACTCTACATGATGTATCTTTGGTATGGTTGAGTTTCCACGGCACGAATGCCTTCCTTCATGCCCTCGCTGCCTCGGCAAGGCTTTTGCTTAGTCATGGCCCATAGCGAGGGGGGGGTCTTTCTAGTGAGCATGGCTAGACTCACCCTCAAGGGACCGATACCGTCTTGGTGCGGCGCACCCGCCGCGAGGCGTGCGTAGTGGTAGAGTTGGGTCGGCACTGGTGCGTCAGGTACAAAAATGCAGATGCGCGGGCCTCATGGCCGTCGATGTAGACAGCAATGTCCATCTCGGTTTTGTGCGCGGAGGCAGACGCCATCAGAAAGGTGGACGGGCACTATGAACACGGCCCTAGGTTTGCTAGAGGGAGCTGTACTGTCTCCGTAACCTGGCTTCGTCATGAAAGGGGAGGAGGGAACAGGTGGTGACGAGCTGAGTGGGCTGGTTGACCCTTCGGCGCGAGAATTTTCAGACCAAGAACCCTCAGTGCAACAAGGGAGAAAGCGAGGAACCGACTGGGAAGGACAGCAACGAGAGCGTGTACGGACGGAGCGGGTCGATTTTGGTCGTGCTAGGACTGGCCGCAGCGACACCGGAGCAGCGGCGCCGGAGCAGCGGCATCGAGAAGCGGCGCCGAAGCACACGGACGACATCGAACTGTGACCCACGGACGAACATTTTGTGTTGTCAAATATTTTCCGTTTTTTTTCCTGAACATTGGTGTGTATGTGATGACGTCACTGGTATTGTGGAGAGACGCGGCAGAGATGGCGCGGATAGCCCGCGTGCCTTTATTGTGTACCTGCATCGTGGTTGAACAATTCAATGTGGAACGATTCCTAATCAATCAGTGTCGATTATTTACACTGCGGTGTCCAACACAGATGATCAGGGGTAGATTCGGTGATTGTCAATTGCAATGATGGCTTTGGTTGGTTGTTCTTTTTCACTGTATGTCCACGGACGCATTCTGACAGCACTTCAGACAGCAGTTGCGCGCCCCGAACTTGTACCATGCCTGCCATGGTGTTATTGTACAGGCAGCACTCCAGACAGCTGTACGCTGTAGTCGACATTCATTTTGGTAAAGTGTAGGACAGAGGGGGTAATATGCTGCTGTAGTCGAATGTATTGTGTGGACGGGTAGTTCAGTTTTTGGGCACGCAAACGTGCTGCAGGGATGTAGGTGTACCTCTTCGGGCTTGTGTACCCTTTTCTTGCTAGTTTGCGTGTTCTTTGGATCCTCTGATGGCTCTAGCATTTTTGTAACCACGGACCGCGTCTTTGCTAGATTTTGGGATTAGCAACTGACACGAGTTTAATGTGATGACAACAACAACAACAATGCCTAATGCTGTGTGTGTGCAGTTTACCTCGTTGTGTTGACGTGGCACAGCAGATGGATACTGATGGAATTATTCGTTAGTTCAAGTTAGATGTTGTTGTTGTTGTTGTTGTCTCCACATTAAAAACTTAAAAACCGTTCCATTTTCTCTGCCCAGTACCTTCTTCTGTCCGTACTAGTCTAACATTTGACGGGGTCGATTCCCGTGGTCACAGACTAACTTACCCGAAAGAGGTATTTATAAAAAAAAAAAGTAGACCCCAAGGGTCCGCAAGTGTGCGAAGAAACAATCACCCGCTCCTGTTTCGCGTTGTGTTGTGCATCGAAGAATATACATATGTATGTTGAGTACTTGGCCGACAGGATTAGACAACAAGTTGCAAGCTACATCGTTGAGGCAGCTAACGAGTAAACAGGATGTTGATTTCATGTGGTGACTGCTGTAAAATCTTTTTTGTTTTCCTGGTGGTTACCACACAGACAGGTTGTTGACGGCTGGTGCGCATTGCATGTAGGTTGTATATTACATGTCCGCGAATATGGCGCATAGCGCCAGCACACTTGAACAAGAGAGCATCTATTTGTAACAAGCAATGCAGTTAAATACGGTAGTTAAATAGTTAAATTTGCATAAACGGGTGGTGGGGCATGTGTGCACGTTGGTGGGGGCTTGTTCAACTTGAGTTGGAGGTCACAAATCAAAATGCCATCGTGTACAATTATGTGATGGTTTGGACGATATGTCTTGGATCAGTCACGCAAAACTACAGCAGGTCTTACAGCTTTGTACCAGGGTTGTTCGTGGAGTAATATGTACCGCTCAGCGGAGCGTTTTGTTTCTTGAGCATTTTTTCTTTTCGAAATTTTCACGAAGCGGAGCGGAGCGGTCTAATCCAGCTGGTTTATTCCAGCTGGTTTATTCCAGGGGGAAAAGTGAAAAAGTCTCGCGGATCGGAGCGTCTGTTTTGTTCATGCGACAGAGCGGAGCGGTTAGGGCTGTTCAACCACTTTGTTTGGTGCTCCGACACAATTCAATCTGTAGCACGTTGTAAACGGAGCGGTTTGATTTCCTCCTCCGTGGCATGAACCGCGCGAAACCGACGCTTTAACAACGAACGGTGCTCCGTGAGAAGACCGCCGAAAAAATTCAAATCATTCGGGTATCGTAACTATTGATGCACGGCGTACCTGTGATTGCGCAATACGTTGGGTTTGATGCATCTAAAAATTGTTTTTCTGACGGTGTGGGGCTGTTTGTGGAGGTCGTCCGTGACACCGTACAACATGCGTCCTCGCTGCCAGACCAGCCCAAATCGAAAGAATGAAAAGAAGGTTGATCAGTTAGTTTGTGAAGGGACTGTTGCCCGCATTGGATGCCTCCTCGACCTATTCGTTCCTGCGACACATACCAAACAGCAGGAGTTAATTTGCCACTCTCCCTCTCGGTTGAACTCGTCATGCTGGTGTCTGGTAACGTTGTTATTTTGTATTTTTTCCTTGTTTCCTTGTTGGTTGGTTAAGGAGGTAAGGGAGGCTGTTGACACATTTATGTGTAATTTTCGTTTTGGTTCATTGAGGTTCGCTGGACTCTGTTGGAGTCGAAAATATATCAGCTGTGTGAGCTGTTCGAGCGTTGGAAACGCTGCAAGGCCAAGGAGGGTTAATTGGTGGTACATACAATACACGCTGGTTATGTGTCATCACAAAATTTCTTGTGGAAGAACAAATGCATGCTCGGGAACCGCAAGTTCGAATCTTTCACGTTGAACGGGACCTCTTGTATGCATACAATATCTTGTCGTGAACGAACGCGAACGCGAGCGGCCGCCGTGGCCATTAATTCAAAAGCTGCAATCACGATGTTTGCTTCTGTCCCCGATACAATATCTTGATGCAACGTCCACCGTTGAAATTGGGGCAATTATGTGGTGTTCGGCTGGCTGTTTTCCAGGTGATCGTTCCCGGGGAGAAGTCGTTCTTCGAAACGGGACTGCCGGACGCCAGCTGCGACGTGGTGGCCTCCCAGGATGCTCTCCTACACTCCGGGCCGGAGCGGCACAGGTCCATGGCCGAGGCAGCCCGCGTGCTCAAGCCCGGGGGCAGGATGGTGTTCTCGGACATCATGCAGTTCAAAGAGACCGACCCCAAGGACCTACAGGATGTGAGTTCGAGGAAGAGTCACGCATTGCCGTGGTTGGCAGTCCACCGGCCGGGGGGGGGGGGGGGGTACTCATTTGTTGCTTGCCCTAATCATTTGACCATTGACCACCCGTCCCTTTCCAAACGGGGGGGGGGGGGGGGGGGGAGGGGG